AATGACTTTGGTTGTGCTCCCAAGCACTTGGTTGTGCTTCATCGAGGCGAGATGAAGCGCAACCCCGAAAAAATGATGTTTTATGTTCTTTGGTAAATTCTAGTGAGATAGGTGCCATGCGAATGATATGAATAGGGGTCAGCATGATGTTAACGTTTATGTTCATCGTGGCACACCCAGTGGCGAAATGCTTTGATCCAAACATATCCGACGGCGACATGATGACATGATACACTCCACTACACCACACTACATTTCACTACTCTACATTGCACTGAATGACACTGCACCACAAATAGACAGGTAGACAGGTAGACAGATAGACAGATAGACAGATAGACAGATAGACAGATAGACAGATAGACAGATAGACAGACAGACAGATAGATAGATAGACAGACAGATAGCCAGGTAGACAGATAGATAGATGAAAGAGAGAGAGAGAGAGATAGATAGATAGATAGACAGACAGATAGATAAATAGATAGATGAATAGATAGATAGAGAGAGTTTTGAGCGATAGATGGGTGGAGAGATAGAGAGATAGATAGATAAAAAGATAGACAGATAGATAGATAGGTAGATAGATAGACAGACAGATAGATAGATAGATGGCTAGATAGATTGATAGATAGATAGATAGGTAGATAGATAGGTAGATAGAAAGACAGATAGACAGATAGACAGGTAGACAGATAGACAGATAGACAGATGAAAGAGAGGAGAGAGAGAGAGAGATAGATAGATAGAGAGATAGATAGATGGCTAGACAGATAGATAGATCGATGGATAGATAGATAGATAGATCGATCGATAGAAAGATAGATAGATCGATAGATAGATAGATAGATATATAGATAGAGAGATAGATAGATAGGTAGATAAATAGATATATATGTATAGATAGACAGATCGATAGATCGATAGATAGATAGATAGATAGAAGGATAGATAGGTAGGTAGGTAGGTAGATAGATAGATAGATAGATCAATGTATAGATGGAGAGATAGATAGATAGATAAATAGATAGATTTATATATATATATAGATAGATAGATAGATCGATAGATCGATAGATCGATAGATAGGTAGAAGGATGAATAGATAGATAGATAGATAGATAGATAGATAGATAGATAGATAGATAGATAGATAGATAGATAGATAGATAGATAGATAGATAGATAGATAGATAGATAGATAGATAGATAGATAGATAGATAGATAGATAGATAGATAGATAGATAGATAGATAGATAGATAGATAGATAGATAGATAGATAGATAGATAGATAGATAGATAGATAGATAGATAGATAGATAGATAGATAGATAGATAGATAGATAGATAGATAGATAGATAGATAGATAGATAGATAGATAGATAGATAGATAGATAGATAGATAGATAGATAGATAGATAGATAGTTCGGGGAACAATATAACACTATTGGCCTTCTGCTTTTTTATTCGCGGGTGCTGTGAGACCAGGGGTTCAACATTGAATTTTAAAAACTCAATGGGCGCAATTGAAAATGAATGAAAAAAAAGGATCTCACAAACTCAGTTCGGTAAAAAATCTTGTCTTGGGAGGGGCTTTATTATTAACCTCCCAACATTACTCCGTGTGTGTGTGTGCTTGTGATTGTTCCACTTTTCTTTTTTAGGTGGTGTACTTACTGGTGTGGCTGATTGAACAGAGTAATTACTGGATTCATTGTCACACAACGAGGAAAATCAAGCCTTAAAAGCGTCCATCTTGCCTTTGTTGGTTTTTTTAGGTGCTTGTTGAACCCTTATTGACCCTGTGCCATTCCATCTTGCGGCCATGTTGGGCCTATGCCAGGCTTATGCTGACGCTTTGTGGCATTTGTTGAAAGCTAATTGATCCCATGTCAGGCCATCTTCCCTCTATGTTGGCTCTATGCTGCGTTTATTTCATCTTCTAGGAAACAGATTCGGAAAAATTTGCCTATTCCAAGAACACAGAAAGTACACATTTCTGGACCAAACATGAGCTCAATTTCGTCCATGTCGTCCACTTTTCAGACGCTTGTTGAGCCCCATGTCAGGTCATCTTGCAGGTTTGTTGTGCCATTGTTGCGCGTATGTTGCTTTTTGTTGGCTTTTGACTTGCTGGCCCCAAGTACGTCCATGTCAGCTATGTTGGGCCTACATATCTTGGAATCATCTTGCAAGGGCCTGGTCCAGGCCTGGGTGCCTGCCTGTTCTTATGCCCGCCGGGCGTAAGCGCAGGCGGGGCTTTGGCAGCGCAGGTTTGGCAGGGTAAAGGCTGTTTTTTCATCATTTTAGGCCCAAAACCTGTTCGATGAAGGGCCTGCCTGTTCTTATGCCCGGCGGGCATAAGCGCAGGCGGGTGAAAAGGAGACATTTCATCCACAGGGTTGTTTTGCCGTGGATTCCCATGAGAAAGGGAAATTTCATCCATGGAATGGAGCCAGTTTGCAATGAAATGGCCAATTTGAAATGAAATGGAGCCAGTCTGGGGTAACTGGGGGTGTAAGCCAAGTACATAGACGACAGTCCATTTGGATGACTTAGTAAACCAGAGCTATGAAACATTATAAGTGGTATGACGTGTCCAGTGTTGCTTTCTTGCTTGGCTGTGACGAATTCAGAGCCAACAAATGCCCCACAGAATTACGACCGAGTTTGTGAGCGGAGTAGAAAAACTCGGTCGTAATTTTTTTTCCTTCTACAATGCCCGAGAAAGGATTCTAGGTGTATGTTGCAGACCATGGGGCCAGTTGACTATGGCCACTAACCAGATAACTCCTTTGTATCCATGTATGTTTGTAAATATGTCTGTCTGTCTGTCTGTCTGTATGTATGTATGTATGTATGTGATGTAATGTTTTTTCACACTAAGTCATATAATGTTATGTTATGTTACATCATGTATGTCTGTATGTATGTATGTATGTATGTATGTATGTATGTATGTATGTATGTGCGTATCTGCGTATGTGTGTATGTGTGTATGTATGTATGTATGTATGTATGTATGTATGTATGTATGTATGTATGTATGTATGTATGTATGTATGTATGTATGTATGTATGTATGTATGTATGTATGTATGTATGTAGTATGTATGTATGTATGTATGTATGTATGTATGTATGTATGTATGTATGTATGTATGTATGTATGTATGTATGTATGTATGTATGTGCGTATGTCTGTGTGTATGTATGTATGTATGCATATGCATGCATGCATGCATGTATGTATGTATGTATGTATGATAGATATATAGATAGAGAGATAGATAGATAGATAAATAGATATATATATATATATATAGATAGATAGATGGATAGATAGATAGATAGAGAGATAGAAGGATATAGATAGATAGATAGATAGATAAATAAACAAATAGATGGATAGATAGATAGACAGATAGAAGCATCGATCGATAAATAGATAGATCGATAGCTAAATAGATCGATAAAAAGATAGATAGATAGATAGATAGATAGATCGATCGATAGGTAGATAGATAGATACATAGAAGGATAGATAGATAAATAGATACATAGATAGACAACTAAATAGATAGATACATGGATAGATAGATGGATAAGGAGGTAAGTACATAGTCAGAGAAAAAGAAAGAAAGAGATGCGGACCAGGGGGGAATCGAGGCCCCCCCCCCCCCTAAGTCTCCGTTCGTGACTCTCGGCTCTCAATTTCCGGGAAAGGACCACCCACCTCCCCCAGTACTAAACTAGTACTAAAGTACATAGAACTCAGGTAGCCTAGGCTACCTTTCGTGAAAAAATGGGTCGGAAGTAGGGTCTGCTTCTTCAATCCGGAAGAACCTCTACCCGACTCTACCCCTGTTCGAGACCGGAAAAAAAAATGCAACAAGGTTCACCATCAGTGGATTTCCTGCAAAAAGGCAACGGTGGATGAAAAAAAACAGCATCTTCCGCATGGATCTGCATCCGGATATCGCAACTAACCATGCGTAACTGGGTTTGATCGTGTAGTTTATCCCCCTCATTTACTGGTTTCCCCCTGAGCAGTGCAAAAAAAAAACATAAACGGGAAATCCATCAAGAAAATGATATTTCATGGTTTCTCCCTTCATGCGTTTGATTGAAATCTCCACTTTTTCTGCAGTAGTTCACCCTATCGCCATTGTATTCCGTAGTATTATTTCCCCCTCTTATGATCAACAAACTATCATCTATGGTCTATGGTTCATATCAACTACTACTGTGTGTCCTCATCCGCATCTTTGCAGTTTTTCAATTCCCACTCTTGGATCATTAAATACGAATCAGTTTTCGCCATCAAAACCCAAAAAAAACAATTAGGACTTACTCAGACTTACAGTACCATATATCATGTTGTATCCCCATCTTTGTTGGTGAATAGAAGAATATCACCATGTTCTCAGGTTGATGTCCCCACTCGGAGGGGAGTTGGGCAAACATCCCGCCCCAACACGTGCCCCAGTGCCGCCCCGTCCCAGGCGGAGATGCTGGCGTGGCAGCAACAAGGTGAAGGCACGAGAGCCTGGATGAAATGCTTTTGAAAGTGTTGATGAATTACCATAACCGTTATAATTTATAACTCACCAACCTAAAAAAAAAATCCTTCAAATTATTCCTTGACCCCCCCGCAGAACGTACGAAAGGAGAGTCCTTTTGTTCAATTGCCCATTTCCTCGCAGCAATCGATGTTTGCAAAAGCCGATATGGTAGTGGTAAGCGTGCATATTGGGCTCTACTTAGTTACTTACCCCGCTAGTTCCAAGACACCATGTTTCAGTGGTACCTTTTTCCTTGACTACACGGGTGTGCACAAAAGCAACCGCGGTCATGAACTCATGTCATGCCACCTCTACCCTAAACTGTACTGTCTAGCTACACAGCTACCTATTTCCTAAGTCTCACCGTGTGCAGTTTGCGACCCTCCTTAGAGTGGCATGGCCTTGTGAGCCGTCGCTATACCTCTCCCTGGCTAGCTGTGGCCAGAGAAAGGACTGCCGTCGCCATAGTTGGAATGTTCCACTCTGACCCCCACGAATCTGTCTTCGGCTTCACGCCACTGCTGGAGCTCGTTCGCACTCATCCTTTCGAAGTAGTCCGGAGGACTGTCTGCCCTCCCAGGCGGAGCTTCCAGCTCAGTGGTGGAGTTTTGCTCGAAGAGGTTTTCCATGCATGCTGCTTGGTCAGAGTGGAGACCTTGACGGAGATGCGTTCAGACGATGATAACACGTCTTCTCCGTCGCGAGCTTCATACATTCCCGGTCCAAGGCTTGCTTTACCTTTGTCCCTGACTTGGGGTGTTTTGTCAGGAAGTTTGCACAGTTGAAAGTTCCCTTGACCTTGATTTGCTTTGACTGGAGCGCTCCCTGCACATAGAATTCACATACTTCCAGGTGCCTCAGCTTGGCTCCTGGGCCTATGCACTTGGATGCCTGCACCAATGAACTGTCCGCCCGCTTCCCGCACAATTGGCCAAAGTCTAAGGCGATGAGATCGCGCAGGTAAATGGCTTCCCTGGCTGCTCTGAAAAACGTCTCAGTTCCGCATCTGGGCTGCTGGTAGCTGGCAGTTCGGGTTGCGTGTGGGTTGTGCGAGCAACCACAGCTCCACAGACTATAGCCACATGGCAGTCGGTGCTTGCCCTGCTCTCGAGAGACCCTGCCCAGTCTGAGTCGGAGTACAGCCCGATCGCCATCTTTTCCTGGCGGATCACATGTCACCACACGGCCAGCTGCGAGATGACTTTGCAGATAGGCTGCAAGTGTGTTCACTGCCTTCATGTCGCACTCCCTTGGCTGCGACATGTGCCTTGCTGCTTCTTTTACAGCATACTGCATGCCCCTACGATCTAAGCTCAAAAGGGTCCGGAGTTCCCAATGGTAGTGCGCTACATCCCATAGATATGTGTGGACCACTCTTGGTCTCTAAAGGCGCGGTGGATCGGTCGGAACCAAACCGAAGTCCAGCTACCGACATTTCGACGATTCTTGCGATGGACTGCCTATACCCAAGGTCAGCCAATTGCAGGTCCGTCCCACAGGGATCAGACGATTGTGGTGAGTGAAAAGCTCCAAGAACAATTCAAGGTGTCAACGGTCTCATCCCTGGATCTGACATGTACCCCGGAGTCAGGTCGTCGCCTGCTCCGCTACCAATGTGAATTGGCAACGGGATCGTGCAGTCCACGCAGCTTTTTCACTGATGGCGTGAGCCGTACAGCTCAAGGGCCCTATCAGCCGAAACGGCAACAGACGGAATGTCAAATACCTCAAATTGACAAATTTATAAATTTATGAGGAAAATGAATGGATTCAACCTTTTATATACAGTGGAATGATGACCATTGTATTAACGATCATTCATGGGGTATCGGTATAGGTCAGGTATGATATCCAATGGTGTTCGATTTGATTGTTCATGATCGAGGTTTCAGCCAGAAAAAACTGCCATTCTATGGTGATCCAATCATTAAAAAATACAATAAATAATAATAAAATGTTCAATCATTTCCCAACGAAGTCAAGGGAAAATTTGGGACCAAATATCTGGCCAAAGGCTGGTGAAATCTCAATTTGGTGACATTTTTAGCGACTAAGATCACCATGTTTGATGGTCAATCCAGAAAAATTAGTTTTTTACCTCAACCAAACATTTGATACATTTGTTCACCATCCATGAACCACTAGGATTTCAACATACAACGTAGAAATCAAAAAGGATCCGAACCCGGGACCCGTGGTCTGGGGATGTCTGGGGTATTCTCCTGAGATGTCTAATCTCAGGGGTGTAACCAATCAAAATGACTGGAAACTGTGTTTGGTTTGAAGCACCTTGCTGTTCAAAATGAACAAAGATTGCGTGTTTTTTTTACCATGATGTTGAACACAAAGGACCCTGGGAATCGCCCAAAATATCATACTGAGTCACACAATTTCCAACCGCCTTTCGGCCCAAATTCTTGCCTCACCAGTGCGCTCAGACTTTGCATGGACACCTGTGGGAGCATCCTCTGCGGTTCAAAATCAAATAGATTGGAAAACAAACCGTGAGCACTTCAAGTAGGATCACCAATATTTCCCTGGAAAATGGCCAGGTTCAAGTCTTCCATTCAACCAACAACATGTCCATCCGCTGTTGTGGAGTTACTGCAATATCACAACCTAAATCAAACGCATCCATGACGCTGGGCCCAGTTTATGACGGTGTCAACCACCCTGGCCTTGCCACCTGGTCACAATTCACGCACGCGCTGCGTTGAAGTCATAGGTCTTTTTCACACCACCTGGAAGGACAAATCCAAACAGTTCAGTTTGGAAAAAAATGTTGGACAAGATTTTAGACAATCGGCATTGCATCAAACAAACTGGCACCCAAAAGTTGGTATTCAAAAGTTTTAGGGATATCATGTCAAAAACTAGCAAAAAACGTATTGCCGATTTCGCAAACAAACTGATGTTTCACCTTGTTTTTGGTTTGCAAGGGCAACACGCAAACACCATCACCCAACCTTGCCTGCACAACATCCATAAAATTTTGAACCAAACCCAAAACAGGTTTCAACTGGACTAAGCGTCGCTGACGCTGAAAAACACTTGAGCCAAATCGGATGCGGTTGAACACCTACTGTTGGGCGAGTTCGAGAACCCTTCGCTACTCGCTACCCATTCGGAAATTTCATCAAACGATATCAAGAGAGGACTATCCCAAAGGGTACCATTGTTTTGCTGTTGGACCATCATGGACCATCCAATTTTGGGTTCAATCATTTTCGAATTCAAGATCTTTTTGCTCATTTTGTCAACTAATCATAAGAAATTACTCCCATACGTGGTGTTTTTGTCTGAGGTTGCATGCCATGGACCGATTCAAACCTGCAAAATGAGACGTTCCCCGACACTAATCACCAGCATTGTCATGGTGACTCTGGAAGAACCATGTCGCAATTTGATGTGTCATAGTTCATCCCCCACTGTTTTTGTTTCAAAAGGTGTGCGGCGGTTTCTTAAAGGGAATCCATGCTGTCCCAAAGTAGGGATGTCATGTCCAAACAATTTTCTCGGGTAAAAACAATTCGTTGCCGAAAACGTCAAAGGTTTTGCAACAATACCAGGTTTATTTTCTGCGAAGAGCTCGGACACTATTGTTTTGAACCAGGGCCTGCACACGATCACACAGAATTCCTGTGCAGAAAGACTGGTGTGGTTTCGTATGAAAATGAATCCAGTTCTATGCATTCTGACTCTCTCGTTTTGTGCGTGTCATCCTTCATGCAGTGGCCATGTAGCCCTAGTGACAGCAATGAGTAGTGTTGCAAATCCTTCGGACTCCTCCTTGACCTGCTGAGCTGTAGCTTGCATGGTCACTCAAACTGTCACCAAGTTTTCACCGCCATTGCACGCTCTTTACACGCATCCTTGCAAAAGAAAAATTTCATTTGAGAAAAACATGCAAATTTTCAGTCCACGTGCGCCATCCCGCGCAACTGTCCACCATAGCTGTTATATCGGTCTGCCATCACTGGATACTGGGTACGGACATGATCCGCCGTAGATTCCAAGCAACTGCTCAAAGTTGTGAAAAGTTCCACCCTCTTTACATGAGGCATTGGGATGGGGCCATCCATTGCATCCAGAATTCCAGAATCATCATAATACAATTTTGAAATCTACTTGCCATCCCATAGTCACTTATCATCAAACAGCTGTTCAGCTCGTTCCGGAAGGTCACAATGGTTTGGCTAAGGTTGGTCCTTGGCTCGATGGGAGGATCTCTTTCCCTCTCTTCACTTTCTCCTCCTTCACCTTCTGATTCCATCATGTCCGTGTCGTCTCCATGACTAACTCCATGGTTTTGGGCCTGAATACCCCCCATGTAACGTGCACTGCCCATAGCCCTTCGAGCTACCATGTTGGCACGTTCAACATTGAACATATGGCGACGATCTTCCGGTTGAAGGGATCGAAATGGGGTGTAACCTCCAAGCTGTACCAGCCCGTGATGCAACTGTTCACCAGCGTCAGAAACCATTTCCACCTCGCCAGTTAACTTATTGTGGCCCTCTCTGAGCCTTCTGAAGTTTGTCTCCAAAGTCTCCAGCCGGTTCTGAGGATTGACACATCAGTGAAATGTTGTTCTTTCAGGTTCACAGTTCAGCTTCCGTTGCTTCAACTTACATATGTCAAGTACATGAAAGTGCATAACACAAAGCAGCAGCTGCTGGGGTTCCCTATTTTTCAGCGTGGTGCAAAATGATCTCGAAGGGGGCTGTACACTAATTTGATACCAGCGGGTTGACACATGTACAGACCACAAGATCAATTTGTAACCCCCCAACACAAAACGACAAGCCAGAGGTACATACCCAAGAACCGGGGTAGTAATCTGGTTGAACAGGTGGGGAGTTTGGAAATGCACCCCCTACTCACCACCATAAAGTCCACGGACGGTGGAGCAAGGGGATGGCGGAGGGGAGAAATACGATATGCAAGCTTGAAGCAAAACGGCAACGGACCGATGAAGTTCCGGGTCCTACCTGTGAACAACTATGTACAAGTACAAACCACGTTCACAGTTCAGCTTCCGTTGCTTCAACTTACATATGTCAAGTACATGAAAGTGCATAACACAAAGCAGCAGCTGCTGGGGTTCCCTATTTTTCAGCGTGGTGCAAAATGATCTCGAAGGGGGGCTGTACACTAATTTGATACCAGCGGGTTGACACATGTACAGACCACAAGATCAATTTGTAACCCCCCAACACAAAACGACAAACCAGAGGTACATACCCAAGAACCGGGGTAGTAATCTGGTTGAACAGGTGGGGAGTTTGGAAATGCACCAAAGAAAATCGAAAATCGACCAGCCGGAGTCGCAAACTCCCCCAAAAAGGACGTCAGCTGCACTGTTGTCTGTCCCTTGTTGGCAGGCAACAGGACCGCGACCACGAGGAAGCGCAGATTCAATGCAGAACGTCAGTGCAAACTGTGCCAAAAGTTCCCATGCAGCAATGTGCTTCTGCATGTCTGACCCGACCCAAGGCCACAACGCTTGAGCTTCAGAGAGCGTGATTTGGAATTGAAACCACACCCAAACACCGTTGGGAAACATCGCTGCCCCCCCAAAGCCAGCAATAGATTGAGATGCCATTGCGTCTGCTGTGGCGGTGATGTCCAAAAAGGTAGCTGGTGACATAGACAGCGAAAAAGGGGTAGACACAAGGAGTTTCTCCCATAGGCTCATGGCTTCTTTGGCCTCATCATCCAATGTACGCATGGGTGATGTGGGATCCTGAATGCCCACCCAAATGCGTCGGGATTTGATATGTATCTTGGCTGCATCGTCCAAGGTGTGCACATTCGTGTTCGAAACTCTCACTAACCTGACTTGTTGGCAAAGAGACTGATGTCTGTGCGTAAAGTCAGTTGTAAGTGTGAGTTGCGGTGACAGTTCACCCAGGAAATGTTGGTATGTGACATGGTCCATACCCACCATGGTTGTGGGGATGTGGTGCATAGCCTTGTACAGTGGGATGAGCAAAGGCCTGAGGAAATGCCATCCCGATGTGAGCCAAAGCAAGCGACCCACAATGGACTGCATGTCTTTGAGTGGCACTTTGGTGCAGTCCCCAAACTTGCGCAGCTGTTGTACAATGCGCGAGATTTTCTCCTCGGGGATGGAGATAGACCACGTCAGAACAGAGATACGCCATCCGATCCAGTCCACCTCAACGTCCAATGATGCCTTATGCCATGACATGGGGATACCCAAGATGAGAAACAGCACGACCAAGAGTGATGCCCACAAAGGAGATGAGATGCGATCAAGCCATGCCAGCAAGTCATCAACATACTGCCACAAAGCGTGACCATGGGCAAGGAGTGCGTGGCTTGTGCGGACCATCAATCCAGCGACCCTGCCCCAGTACCATCCACTGGCGCGTGCCCCGAAGTTCAATGTGATGCAACGGTACAATTTCCCGTTGGCATGGAAACACAGCATGCCACCATCCTTAGGATCAATGAGGATGCGGCGGTGCGCTTTTGACACATCCAGTGTAAGTTGAATCATCTGCTGTCTGGCCATAGAGTCAGGTGCACATTCCATAACATCAGAGATGCGTGGGAGAGTCATGTGGTTAGGGATCACAGTATTGGCAGTCACGTTGCTGATGGAGCTATCCACAACCAGCCGAGGTGATCTGCCTTCAGAAATCACGACACCCAACTTGCCCACAGCAGTCCGCTGAAACTGTTTCTGGAGTTCAGGTACACCGCCAGGAACTAAGGCAATGAAACCAGCTGCAAGTTCTTCTTTGATCAGGTCCTCCACAATGACTGGGTGGTCAGCTGCGCTCTTCCACGAGTCATGCCACACCAATAATGGTTCAGGGTCAGAAACCACACCATCATGAACTTGCCAAGCTGGTGAGGGTTTGAGTGACTCATTGACACCCAAGGGAACACCCTTAACAAGGTCCAAGAGGAAATCAGCATCAGGGTCAGACAAAGACTGCGCCAAAGTATGCCAGAGGTAGAGCCGAAACGGTTGTCCAGGAGGAAGTGAAGAAGGTGATCACCAGGAGGACAATCAAGCACTTCCAACATGTCATCGATGTAAGGTTGTAGGTCCGCATCCGAAAGGGGTGGGTGTTTGCAACCTGATGTCAAAGAAGCCGTGATCTTGAAGCAGTGTTTGGTATCACTCAACCTTCGAAACCAACGGGATCGCAATGACGCCAGCTTGTCATGGGATGGTCTGAGCATGTGAGCGGCTGTGCTATTAAGCCCCCCTCCATCTTCGACACGCGAAGGCAGGCGTGGCCACTTGAGTGATTGAGGAAGCGCCGCTTGCCAGTTGTCAATAGGCAACACCATGGAGTTCTTGGTGACGTAAGGGGCAATGATCAATGCCAAGGCATGAGCCAGATCAGGCGGATATTCAGCAGTGATGCGACTGAGGAATGATCCATCTGACATCCGGACACCCGCGATCTGTTGATGGACATTTGCACCATGAGGGCAAGATTTGGCAAGTGCAAAAATGTCAGGTCTGTTGGCCACGAACATCCAAGCTTTTGCCCAGTCTTTGCCAAACTGGCAAGCAGAGGCTTGGGCCGCAAACGGGGCCACAGTGTGGACCCACTGGACCATGAGAGGGTCATCCCATGTCATCGATGTGGCGGGATTTTCCAAAATGGCCAACCCCCCCTTTTTGTCAACCTCTGACAATAAAATGCGCGATCTGTCATGGATAGCTGCACTTTCTTCAACTGCCAGTTGTTGTAACGGAGAGTTGGAGGGAAGGCCATCAATAAACTCTGGCGTTCTGACAGGGGCAGGGCCTGGAGGACGAAGAGTAGCCCTGCTGTGTTTGCTACAATAAGGCGCAGCCAATGCTGCCCCAATCATGCCTGATGCTGCCAAAAGAAGCACTGCTTCGAAGACGCTGTCATCCAGCAAGTCATGGCCATGAATAAGGTCCACCGGTTCGACACGATCACATGCAAATGGGACAAGGGCCATACTCACTGGCATGGTCGCCCCGGCAAAAATGTCAAGAAAAAATTTGGGAGCAGAACACGATGCAAGTTGTTCGAAAATGCCAGAATTCTGAGAAGGTGCACGGGAGACTTCTACCTTCGATGCTGTATGAACAGAATCGGGTGGCTCCAATGACTCAGCCAGGTCCTGCAACTGTTGTGGAGGAACTGAATTATCGCTTTCCTGCTGCAATGGTCAGTGTGGTGCCGACTTGTGTCGGGCTGCTGTATGAAAACCTCCACACGGTTCTCCATTGGCCTTCGGTACTGGGCATTGGTGAGCAAAGCGACAAGTCTTACCAGACTTGCACTTATTCAAATTGAAGCGCATACAGATCCCTTTTCCGTCAGGCAATTTGCGAAGCCAGGCATTGTCCCATTTCAATTCCTTGGTGTCAGGCTTCGGCTGTTTGGGTGAGTCGTTACCAGGGCTGGCGGTCTTGGGTTTCTTGGGAAGCGGCTTTGGAAGGTCAGGTCTGCGCTTGGGCGGATCCTGCTTCGGTTGTTGTACCGGACGAGGACGAGGAGCCAAGGAGGTATGAAAAACCTGTCTGCAGAAGGCCACTTCATTGAGGACATCATTGAGTGTCCACTTCGACTCATATAGCAGGTCTGTGACAGCTGACCATGCAACCCTGTCAGCATCCAAAATTTCCGACAACGATGGGGCACGCAGGTGCTGATCACGTGGTTTTGCCAAAGCCAGTTCAAGGAACTTTGCATGGAAGCGCTTGAGGACCAGGAGATGCGCAGAGCCCAGCATAGCCAAAGCAACAGATAAAAGGTTTTGAAACTTGGCCAAAACAACTTCAGTAGGGGCTTGGTGATTGATGACTGCTTCAGGCTGTTCGTTGAGAACTGAGTCACCTTCAGTGAGCAGCGAGCGAAGCAGTTGGCGATCATTCCTGGGTCTGCGATGTTCAGCAAACGCTTGTTCATCTGCTTCAGATGTCCTGCTTTTCCATGGAATCCAGGTGAAGTTGTTGGTGTCAATCGCGTCCTTGAGGGTACACAGAAAGGACAAAGACGGCATAGTCCCGGGCAGCAACAACTCACCTGGATAGTTCTGGCAAAACTCTGTTTTGAGTGCTTTGACATCTGCCACCGACAAACGTGTCTTAGTGGGTGGTGCTGTAGGGGCATCAATGGGAGCATCACGTCCTGACAGCACACATTTCGCAATGCACTCCTTGAGGACCCTTCTGATCGCTGCTGACTGCGGGGAGAATGTCTGAAAAGTCTCACCATCTGGAATCACACTCAAGTGTTCAACAAACTCCTCCATCTTGGATTCATCGTGAATTCCATGGGCAAGGAGTGCAATCGTCGTGTACCCAGCATTAAATATGTGTTCAATCTGAATCGATGGCATGTGGCAGTCAGCCATCAACGATCTAAAAGACACAGGATCATCTAAGGCCATAGATTGTGAAGCCATGTCTGAACGCCCCACCGACACTTGGGCGACAGAAAGCAATCACTGAAACTATTGAATAGGCCGAGGTAATGTAAACACGTGTGAACATGAATCTGACCAAAAACAGTCAGTGAAATGTGGCATAAATTTGATGGACAAGGTACAATCCAGCGTGGATCATGAACCTAAACTGACTACCAGTAGATTGATAAATTTAGCCAAGCGTGGCTGGACCCTAGACATGAGCCAAACTGACTGCGAGTCAAAATGCCAGGTGCAAGCAGGCAACCCGTACAAGAGTAGCCAAGCGTGGCAAAAACCCAAGCACAATAAATCATCCCAGGACATGAATGGGATACACTCAGCACTACCGCACCTTTTGATCCAAGGCAGATGAATGCATGGGTCACTCTTGCGCGGCAGGCTGGCTAAGACTAGGTAGCTCCTCCATCAGCCGGTCAGCGGCCTGACCTCCAGCTCCAAGACGCACAGCTGTAATCAAGTCGAAAAGCATCGATCGAAGGTGGCGGAAGACCAAGTGATCCTCCGGGGTCAACAATGGGGAGTTAGATAGGCCCCACTCCGTGACCACTGAAAGGGCTCCGGAGAGCTGGAAAACCAAAAGATGCGCCTGCTCAACTGGCAAAGCTAAAGTGAAGGTGATAACTGAACAGGGATGCGTCCTGTCAGGGATCCACCCAGATGGAGCTAGGTCCGCTTGGGCTTCATCCTGAGTGATCAACACCTTCGCAGCCAGTGAGCAGAGGACCGAGATGAGCGTCCAATGGAATCTGGATGCCAGATGCTTCGCCACTGCTGCACATCCCGCCAAGCAAACTTCCAGGTGTGCCCTGTGATGATCATCTGAAGCCCACTCCCTGACAAAGGGGAGTGCAGAGTTCACCATAGCCTCTAACTTAGCGAAGTCAGTCATGGGTGGCAAGCGGCACCTCGAGACAAAAATGGCTGGCAGGGTACAACGTATACATAAGAAAATATATGGACACATGTGCTGAAAGATGTGCGGAAAATGAGACCCGTGCAATGGTACCAATGGAAAAATGGGTACCAAAAAAGTCACAAGTGCACGCAGCGGGATGCACTGATATCGTGACTGCACTGTTTGGACACGCCAAGTCTCCGCTCAGTCAAACATCTTAGAGCAGGCTGGTCTCATGCACAGCCTAAATTTTTCTGGGAATGTTTCAGCTGGAATAATTTCAGCATCCCAGGCTGCACGACGGACATTGCAAGCAAACTTGAACGATTTTCGCACTTCCCCAGCATCCACTGTCACCACCCTGTAAGGATCAGATTCATCACATACAGCGGCCACATGAGCAATTGATGACGTTGTATTCAAAAGAAAGAGACAATCAGCTGAAGCTGCTTGGATCACTGGAACCTCCGTGTCATCCTGAAGCTCAGGCGCCGCCCCAGCATCAGACTCACCAGAGTCGGTGTCGGCCAAGTCATCAGAATGGGGGAGGCACAATTGTGTCTGAGCCTGTGGTGTGACTTCCTCTGAGGGTGGGGCCACAGATACTGGTTTGTCCAAAACAGGTTTAGCACCACCACGAAGAAGTGGAATCACTGGCCTAAAACCTGAAGCAATGCGCTGAATGATCTGGTACTGTAACTGTATGGCTGGATGTACGTCGTCACGGCCGTACAAGGCCACGTTGGAGCGAGCGCCTGACTGGCGATGATGGCCCTGCGCCATTCTGGCTTCCTCTGACGCTCCAATTTGTCGTGCCCAACTAAGTAAAGTTACCTTCGGGGAGTGCACGCCGATACTCAAGACAGACGCATCTTTGTTGGCCTGTAAGAGAAGTCGTCTCAACAGCAAGACTCCTTGTGTCCGAGGCATGGGTGCCGTGAACATGGGGTTATCCACATTCGGCCCACACATGGGCAGCAAGAAATCTGGAGTGAAATCCGGAAATACTTCCGCTGTCCGTTGCAGTGCTTGACGCACCAAGTTGAGCCACTTCATAGACCAAGTGACCTGTGTCGATGTGGCCAAGAGCCCTGACTTGACAAACGCAAACGGCATTCCGCGAGACGTCGTCTTGGTACGGACTGCGATGCCCCGGATAACATCAACGTCCTCTGTGAGTGCACTTGGAGTAACCCAAAGTGCGTCACTCCACCGCAGAGATGACCAGATCAAAACAAGCAGTGAGCCCATCAGTAACCTGTCCGCAGCTGTGCCCAGCTCTTTAAGAATGTAGGACTCCAGGTACACAACAAAGCTCAACGGCAGTGGGGCGGCTTCTTTCCTGACAGAGATCTCTGATGGAATTGTGTAAGCCCGAGTAATCGGTGCCTGTAAGGACCCCAAGAGCGCCGGGAACCCTGCATACTTCGAGACCCACGTGAGAGCTCGCGATTGCGCCGTGGCAACACCAAGTGAACTCCTCTTAGAGGACACCTGGAGAAAATCTGCAAGGAAAACTGTCGGCGGGCTGTAAGGACATACCTGATGGCAATGACAAAACTCCACCCACTGTGACCAGCCCTTGAGATATGCCGCTAAAGTAGACGGTGCAAACTTCGCAACAACTTTGATCAGGTGGGCTTCTTGGTTGGGGCTGTCCTGCGTGGACTTGATGAGCTCGCTGTTGGAACCAGCCTGTTTCAGAAGCTGAAGCCAATCAATGTGGTGTTGGGTTCTCAGCTGCTGATGTAAGGCATGCATCGTAGTGGAATCTGCTATCGAAGCTTTCACAACATTCGAAGGCACATCAAGGACACCAGACAGGAAAATTGAAGAAATGTTCGGCTGCATTTGAACGATCGATGCACTTCCTGCTGACATAGGGCGATCATGATTGAGCTGACACTGATAAGACCGCGCGTGGACACCCAATGTCGATGGTGGAACATACTGCAAGCCTGGAGGATGTGCATCCCACTCCACTTCCCGACGAGGTCTCAGTGGAGGTGGCTGCAGGCCACCCATGTAGAGGGGTCCATTGCTATATGGTTTGTAGTGTGCACCAAGTCCTTGACCATCCCACCTGTTCAAAACAGACTTGTAAGATGTCGCCGAAGCTTTGGGAGATGGGTCAACGTAACTCTCAGCCGGTTCACGTCTCCACCGTTTGACTCTAAACAAGGGTTCAGAAGGAGCAGGTCTATTAGGCTGGAAAATGGAAATGCCTCTGCCACAACCTGACCCAGGCAAAATAGTCTGGTCACCCAGTAGCTCCAAAGGGGGATCCATGACTACGAGACCGGCGGGTCAAAAAGGTTTGAACCAGAAACGCCAGCAAAACAAAGAAGTAAAGAATATGACACCAAAGTGCAAGCATAGGCAATGCATGTTGGCTATCAGCGGATAGACAATGGAACAAACACTGGTCCAAACAGCCTTTTGCCAAGCACAGACGGTGAAATGTGAGCAGAGCTGTTGTCTGCCGAAAATGAGCCGAGACAAAAAATTGACCAGGCGTGGTCCAGATGGGCACAAAGTCAAAACCGTCGCCATGTCCAAGGACTGTCGTCAATCTTCTTCTGATCGTGGTGCAATCCAGGACTGGGGCGTCGATGGATGAAGACGGTCAGCAAGTTCAGGATTGACCTCCATCCAGTCTTTTGTGATGGTTGCAAGATTGTGGAACAACAGTTCCTGGCATCGCCGCATCTTCGCAACCTCAGCATGGAGAGAGTCAACTTCTGACTGCATCTGGTAAAGGGCATCTGCCAGGTCGGAGAATGCCATTGGCTTCACCCGAACGTCCACTTTGGCAACACGTCCATCTCCGTGGCATTGGACTATGTGATCGGGGAAGGCACGAGTCATATGAGTGTAGACTTGTGCGTACAGGCCCTCTGGCAGGAAGACGATGTACTCGTAATCCTCATTAAAGGCCGATTCCCAGTCTGGCTTATACTTGCGCCACTGCGATGGGGTCACGTCGACCTCCAGGTCACGAGGAACTTGAAGAGGAAAAAGTGTCCTCCCAGGGTCCAACACCAAAGATTCCAGGGCAAAGAACCGGAAGAGTCGCTCAATTGGCACCACCGAATCTGCACCGAAGGTAATCTGAAAGTTGAACTGGGCCGGCGGATACGACAACTGCAGACCCTGCATCGCAGCCAGTACGGACTGGAAGAAATACCCCGTTTGAGCCCACTGCCAAACTGCGAAATGACCAAATGAAGTAAATGAAAAGAAGTGAAAATGAACGGCTCAGTGCAACAACATGGAATTGACAATCGAATTGAAATACGCAAAAGGGCACTCTTTTTCATCCGACATGCGATGTCAGATATGAGCGTTGAAAATATCAGCCACTGCTTGAGGTGAGCTGAGACTATAAGACCCAATGCAATGTGACACGGGCGCGGTCACATATAAATAGACAATTGATGTCCAAATGACAGCGGCGGCATCATGCATGAGCAAAAAGGTCAGTACAGCAGCACACCGTCAGTTAAGGCCAGGGTCCCCAAGTCCCGGGGGATCAGAAGATGCTGCACCACCAAGCGTCGATGGGTTGGCCAATGTGTCCTCCAAAGCACGGGCTAGGTAAGCTCTGGTCATCAGCCATGACCCACGGGCATACTCAGCTGAATGGTGAGGGACTGAACGCGAAGCTTCCAGCCTCTGATGAATTTGCAGAGCCAGGTGGTCAAGGGCATGCATCTCATTAGACGTCAGCCTGTGAGTGGAAACAGACCTTGCGAGGTCCAATACCGATCCATCGTTTTGAGGGTTGCCTGTACCCTGCTCTGAGCCTGCATCATCTGCGTCCATCGTCTCCTCAATGGCAGCTGGAGAGCCGAAATCAGGTGGGGCTGTGACCGCTTCAGAAGGACTGGCTGGTGAATAGAGGGCAATATGAATACCATGAACTCTGCAACGATGATGCCCACCATGCTCCAGCATTTGTGACACCTGGTACAATGAGAAACCAGGTGGAAATGTCACAGAGCAAGATTCCACCACAGGCGGAGGTAAAGATCCTGGAACAAGATATTCCAAGGACAACCTCCAATCTGAGCTATCAAACATGGCATCCCTCAGACCGCGCAATGGGGTACGGTGGGACATGGCCAGAACAACCAGATCGGGTTATTCGAGCCGAAAGCTGCCAGGCGGGCAAGATAAACGAAAGCACAGCGGTGCATCATGGAAATGACATCAACGGAAACATGAGTGGAAGGCAGCGGCCACCCAAAAACAGCACATGCACTTTTGAACTGCCAAGATTGAAGGTCCAAGCAAATATCCGAAGAAGCCAGCCACCCGAAAAGTAAACAGGACAGGAATGGCAGGTGCTTCAAATACCAAGATGGAAACGGATCTGTGCAATGGCTGCCTCAGCGTCACCCAGACGTCGTTCCAAGGTAATGATCCTGTCAGCTGACTGGGCCGCAAGCTCCATGAGTTGCATCAATGGCAACTGGTGCACAATCAAAATGGTCTCCATGCGGAAGTCAAAGGGGACACCTGCAGGTACCATAGAAAGATGATTGTCTGTTGCAGTTGCCACGGCAGCCATGGATTCGTACACTTCGAGGTCAGCGACATAGAAATGGTACTGGGATGTAGAAACAATGTCGTCGTCCCAAGGTACCCAGTGAGTAGGAAGGTCGATGAGGTCAGGGTCGCCTCCGAAGCCAATCGGCCAAGCAGTGGGGTAGATGATCTCATTAATGCTGCAGTCCAATTGATCCAGGTTGAATGGAGCCATGATTGAATTGATGATAGACTGCTGGAAAGGTGCACCAGGTTGGAACTCCAACGTAAAACGGATCTCCTGAGGAAGAACACGGCGAGGAGCATTCATGATAATCACAGTGATGACAACCACCAGAAAAAGGAAACCGAGGCAAAAGCCACACCCAGTGCAAAACCAGAACAGAAGGCACCAATAGACCACTTGGGCAGATGCACCGGTGGTGGATGAAGAACCACAGGTCGATGCAATGCAGCCTGCCCCTTGTCCAAACAACGCCTGGACTGGACAGCCATGGAGAAATACGATATGCAAGCTTGAAGCAAAACGGCAACGGACCGACGAAGTTCCGGGTCCTACCTGTGAACAACTATGTACAAGTACAAACCACTA